GACAATGGGGGAGGGGGAGGAAATGAGGAACCTTTGTAATAATATGAACAATAAAGATTGATTTAAAAAAAAAGAACTTCTTAATTCTCCAACATTACTGAATGGAAAAAAAAAACAGAAAAATTACTGTGCTGATAAAGTTATTAACAAAATTTAATTGCTTATATGTTCTAATTTTACTATTGTGTTCTCAGTACATAAACAAAATAACTTATAATTCTATTTTTGTTTATGGTGTACATACAGAATAACATTATTGTTATATATTTACATGTTTAGTATATAATGTATTATTAAATACATTTAGTTAAATATTAATATAAATTAGATACATATTATCTAGAAGCTATATGTAACCATAATATCTTATGGTAAAATAACTAGTCTCTTTGATTTCTGGCAAGGGATGTGTGAGCACATTATGAAATCTGAAGAGGTATAAAGCTATAGTATATAACACTCTGTATCACATCCCACCATATCAATCATGAAGGATTTGTCATCTAATCACCCTAAGCCTGTCTTCTTATCTCTAACAAGGCAAAAACAATAATTCATAACTTCCCTTTCTCAAAGAATTGTTAAAGGAGCCAAATGAGATTATTTGAAATTCGCACTGGAAGGGGGGGTGGGGGAGTGGGGTGTGTGTGTGTGTGTCCCTCAGTCCAGCCTGTACCCTCTCCATTCCGGGACCCCTTGGGGGATGTCCCACTGCCCATTGGGACAGGGCCTAAACTGGCAGTGGGACATTCCCCTCATAATCCAGGACAGCTGACTCCTAACAACTCACCTGCCTACCTGCCTGATCACCTCTAACCATTCTGCCTGCCTGCCTGGTCGCCCTCAATTGCCCTCCCCTGCCAGCCTGGTCGCCCCTAACTGCCTCTGCATTGGCCCTCGCCACCGTGGCTTTGTCCAGAGGATGTCTGGATGGCTGTCCAGAAAATGTCTGGTCTAATTAACATATTACCCTTTTATTAGTATAGATATATATATATGTACATATATACGTATTATATAGGATAAAGTTCTATACAAATAATATTATATCTTGCTGAAATTATTGAATACTACCATAAGCAATCAGTTTTATATAAGAGTTTTATGTAAGTGCTTGTAAGAGCACACACTACAGCATTCTCACCCAACTATGAAATGCTATGTCAGCTTAAGAATAAGAAGAAAAAACAAACAAAAAAACTCCTTTAACCTTCACAAGAAAAAGAAAGATGATTTAAAAACAAATGATTAGTCATTATTTTATCAGTTAGGTCAAAAGGCTAGTCCTTAAAAACAGATATACATTAAATTTCAGGATATACCTTTTATTTTCATTGGCTTTTATCTTATTGTTCTTGCAGTTGCACAAGAAACAACTGGCTCTTATGAACCTAACTGGAGGGACTGATTCTGTTTCCCATCTGTATTTTTCACAATCTAAATAAGTCACTTCAAACATTGCTACATTTTAAAACTGTGGCATTCTATTCTACTCTGCTAGAGAATGTAATTTCTAAAAATACCAGGATTTAGATAACTTCAGAAGATATTCATGTATCATTCCTAGAGTTAAAATAATGAAAAAAAATTGAACTGTCCAGCAAGGCAGAATAATACACAATTCTGGCTTTAAATTTGTTTCAAATGATTATAAAACACTGCTTAGCAGCTTGAATATAACCAGTACTTAGCTGATGTTTATTGAATGAAGTATGAATGAATCCTTTGCTAAAACAAAAACAAAACTCACTAACTCCCCTACCATCCTGTCACCCCACGCCGCGTTACTTTGAAGGAGTCCTGACCAATTTGCATATTACCCTTTTATTAGTATAAATAATTACATGGCTACAGTTTCAGAAAGTTTGAGAGTTGAGGCAGTTTCTGATAACTTTAGCTTACCATAAAAAGTGAGCATTATACCTTGCCATATATATTATAGAGAATAGATTCCTGTGATAAACTCATTCTGAAATATACATTATCTAGAACTTGCTAAGTAGAACTGGTCCATGAACCAACAAACTGCCATCACCCAGATGCCAGTCAGTCAAAAATACAGAATCTCAGATCCCAAGCAAATCTATTAAATCAGAATCTGCATTTTAATAAGATCCCCAGATAAACCCAATGCACATTTAAATTTTGAGAAGCAATGATCTGAAAACCAGTAAATAAGTAAAAGTGACGTCTGGTACTTTTAAGGAGCTTCAGGCCCCATTCTGAGCCCTTTTTACAAAGGTATACACAATTTTAACAGATTTGGCTACCTCGGTTTACAGATTAGGAACAAATTGGGAAATAGCAATAACAACAAAGAAAGAAAATGGGAAAAAAACAATAAAAAGCATTTTCAAAATGGGATCTCTGTAAAGGCCATTTAACATCTACCCTAACTGCCCTAAAGCTCTCACTATTATTACAGAAGTGTAACAGTAATAGATTTTCTTCAATGTGATTCCTCTAACAGTTAAGAGTCTAACTAGACCACATATTCCTTGAGGACAAGGACCTAGTAGTTTTATTCCTAAATACTTACATTGTAAACTGGATGACCCCAGGTCACTAAGATGAATTTAGGTTAGGTAATGAGATGTATAACACAATTCAGAAAAAATTTCCATCTAAAAAAGTTACCAAAAAGATGTAAAACCTCCCCATTCTATAACAACCCACTCATTCATCAAGCACTAAAAGCAGAGGCTTTACCAAACCCTGTGCTCCAAATCTGAATGTCTCTTCTGACTCTACTCAGACTCCCTTCCAGGGGAACTGGTGAGTGGAGTCGGTAGAGAAAAAGGAGAAATATTAGGAGAATGGAAGGAGAGTAGAAATCACAGAACACCTCAGGGTTCCTTCATTCATGACAATAAAAAGCAAAAATGAAAAGCCACAACAAAGAGGCGGCAACCCTAGTAGAGAACAAATGCCACCTCAAGCAACCATTCACCCCATGTTCCTTGCCCCTGCGAACCAGACACATGCCCACAATCCTAACCAAAAATTCCTCAAAGACATTTTAACTCTAGAAACATTTCCCTCCTGGCCTTCAATCAGGTGCTAACAGCCAGTTTAGGATACAATTCTCTCTTCCAAAACAGCAAACTTCATGAAGCTTTAGTCTTTACTCCCCAAACTAATCAGTTTTCTTGCCTATGTCTTTGCTCATGCTCCATTCAGAGGCCATTCCCATTTGCTCATCTAAATACAGTATCCAATGTTAGTCACTAGCCATGTGTGGCTATTTAACACTTAACATGTGGTTAGACCAAACTGAGATGTAGAGTAAATGTAAATATGTATTCGATTTTGAAGACTTGGTACAGTAAGCTGTAAAATTATGTAATTGTTTGGGTGTTTGTTTTTACAATGATTACATGTGAAAATAGAATTTGGATATGTTTAAGTAAAATAATTAAAAATTAATCTCACCTGTTTCTCTTTAGTTTTTAACATGGCTATTAGAAATATTTAAATTACGTATGTGGCTCACAGAACACTTGTACTGGGCAGCACTGATCCAAATCCTGCTCATTCTTTAAGGCCTTCTTCCAGCACCTCTGCTTCCATGAAGCTTTCTTTCGCCAGTGACTCCAAGGGGAAGTGGTTTCTGCTGATCTCTCGTAACACTTTTATCCACTCTCCCAAATAACTGGATCAATTTTACCTTGTTTCTGCGTGTACCTGTCAGAGCTCCCAACTCTAACATAAGTAAATGGAGGAAAGAAACTACATCGAGGTCACCATAAATTTTCCTCCTACACCTTGGACTAAGGTAATGCTTGATGTCTGCTGAGAGCTGAATTCCTCATGTACTATGTTATCTATTCCTTGCAATGATTTCCATTTTTCTCGGGGATTAAAGTCCATGTGTACAGATGTCCTGTATTATTATTTTTATTTTTAATTTTTATATATATATATTTTATTGATTTTTCACAGAGATGAAGAGAGAGAGAGAGAAAGTTAGAAACATCGATGAAGAGAGAATCATCAATCAGCTGCCTCTTGCACACCCCCTACTGGGGATGTGCCCGCAACCAAAGTACATGCCCTTGCCCGGAATCGAACCCGGGACCTTTCAGTCCGCAGGCCGACGCTTTTTCCACTGAGCCAAACCGGTCCCGGCTGTCCTGTATTATTTTTATGAACAATGCCGGTGAGCTGTAGGCATACAACATGATGAACAAGGAAATTTAAAATTATCTAATATATACGGTCAATACATTTAGATCCATTGTAAAAATTAGACAAACCTCTCAAGGTCCCATTTTTTTTTAATATGACCCTAAAACTGTATTAATGAAGATCCACTGTTTCAAAAGTAGGAGCCTTTCCCAAAGATTAACAACTCGGGGTGACTAAGATCTAGCAAAAAAAATAAAAATAAATAAATAAATAAATAATATATATATATATATTGGAGATCCTCCCCACACCCGGAGTGTAAGCCAGGTAAGCATGCAAACGCTGGGGAGCAGCACAAGAGTGGTGTCCCACATCGCACCCAAGGCTGGGAGCACAGTAGTAGGAAGGGAAAAGATGAGTTATGTGAAGGATACGAATGGTGGAAATTAAGATTAATCTCAGAAACTAAGATTTTAAAAAAAAGTATCTCAACTATGTGGGAGGGATCCTCCCTGGGTGTGTCTCAACCTCCGAACCCGCAGGCAGAGGTGGCGACGGCCGTTCCTCCCGCGGGAGCCCGCGGCCCCCTCACTCCCGGCCAGGACTCCGGCCCAACCAGCCCGGAGCTGGGAGCCGGTGGACGACGCTGGGGGCCGAGCGGAGGCCCAGCACCGGACGTCGGACCCCCGCTCCCCTCGAGTCCGGCCTCAGCCCCTCCGGCGTCGGGGACGGAGGCGCCCGGGCAGGCGGAGGGGGCGGGGCAGGCGCGGACCGGGCGGGGGCGGGGGCGCCCACCGGGGCCTGCGGCACAGGCGGGGCGGGAGGAGGGAGACCAGAGGGCGGGGGGAATCGGCCGCGGGGCTTCCACTCACCAGTGGCCGTCGCTCGGCTGTGGCGGTGGCAGGACCTCTTCTCCTTCCGCCATTGCTGTTGACGTCACTTTGCCGGAAAGTGGACCCGGAGCCGAGAGGGACGGGGACCCAGTGTCGTAAAAGGTGCTCGGAAGCCTGGGATTGAGGTTCTGGAGCAGGGAAGAAAGGGGGAGGGGGCCCGGACGTCATGACGTCAGGGGCCAAAGGCAGCTTTGGGGGAGGAGACTTGGCGGAGGCTGCTTCCCTTCCAAAAACTACAGTTCCCAGGATGCCGCGGGCGCCGGCGGGGCGGGGTGTGCGGGGCTTGGTGCGGGCGAGGTCCCTGCGGGGCGTCCAGTTAGCGTCCTCATTCCTCTTGGCGCGGCCCTTACAAGTCAGACCAGAGTCCTAACTAGAGGAGGGGAATTCCACCAAGAAGGCTGAAGATAGCAGTTTCAGTAATTTCCTTCTTTAAAAACTGGGTTTGAAGAAAGAGTGGGGTGTAAAGAAAAGACAAGTCCCTCCCCCCAGTTGTGAAGTGCAGCCAAAAGAACAAATATACTTTATGTCCGAATACTTAAAAGTTGTCTTATTTTTAAAAAGCTAAACAGTAAAGGAAATACCTTCTAGTTTTTCACCTTTATAAGTATAGTAATATATATCTATATCTATCTATCTATCTATCTAATATCTATATCTATTTATCTATATCTATATATCTATATCTATATCTATATATATGGCTAATATGCAAAGTATCCACTTGGGAATTCGACTAGGAGACCAGGAGTTGGATTGCTCTCTATGACATGTGCTGACTACCAGGGGGTGGCACGGAATGAAGGCAGGCCCTGGCTGGCAGCCAGAAGGCCCTGATGGGCCCTGAATGCCGGCCAGACCTAGGGATCCTACTGTGCATGAATTTCAAGCACCGATCTCTAGTGTCATTTGTATTTGGCATTAGAAATAGACAATATATTAAAAAAAAATAACAATAAAAAAGAAATAGACAATATATTGTTTATGAATAGATATGTGGTTTTAAAAACTGCAAGGGCATGATATATAGAAAAATTGGAATGACAGTTTTCTAAGACAAACACAGCCAGACATTAGTGAAAGCAGTAAAGACAGATTAGGGGAAAGAGTTTAGCTCCATTCAGATTTATGCAGAGGTGGCTAAGGGTTTCAAAGGGAGAATGGGGGGGGGGAGGGGGGCTCATTAGTCGGAGCAGTGAAAAGCTCCAGAGGGTTGGTCAGTAGTTGTGACTGGGCCAACTGTGTCAGCTAGCTGGCAATGCTCAAAGTTAGGATTCTATCACAGAGACTGGGAGAGGGAGGGCCTATCTGTCCTAATGATTGCATTGCAAAGGAACGGTCCTCAGGTCTTTGGGAAGAAGAGTACTAAATTAGAAGAGATAATACGGTATATACTCACCATGGTAAGCCCTTTCCAGTAAAGACTCCAAGGAAGAGAGGTCAGCAGCCTGTCCTCAGGTGTCGGCTAGAAGGAACAGTAAATTCTCCTGGCTGCCTTGAGCTTTCTCCATCAGGTATGTTAATGGGGAGCTGGGGTTCAATGAGGAGCTGGGGTCATCCTAGGGACACTGCCTAATGTTGCTAGAACCTATGCTAGAGTTTGGCCAACTCTCTTAGTGTAGGGGTTTGAACAGAGTTATCAGCTTTCTGCATAATATAATATACTTATATTTGGGGGAGGGGAGGAAATGGCTTCCATTTGATTGATTTCAGAGTACAATAAAAAATGATGAGAGGGAATCATTGATTGGCAGCCTCCTGCATGCCCTCTACTGGGGGTCCAGCCCACAACCTGAGCATATACCCTGACCCGGAATTGAACCTGCAACCCTTCAGTCCACAGGCCTACAATGACACTCTATCCACTGAGCCAAACCTGCTAGGATTAAGTTGGTTTTAAATACTATTAAGTCGGTGACATGACAAGCAGTTGTTCATTGGTTAAGGCGATTTTAATCCTCAAATGCAATTCATTTTGAGTATAATTAAATCAGTGACTGCTTTGCACACCATGTGGTAAATATATTATTCCATTAAGAATGTATCACTTGACAATTTTCAAGCTGTAGAAAGGATCAGAGTCATCTTCATGAGCATGCAACCCGTGCTTACAAGGGCCCTGCACATGGTTTAGTGCTCTGTGATTATCATCTTGAAATTCTTACTAATTTTGAAACAGGAGGCCTCTCTTTTTCATTTTTGCACTGGGTCAGCCACAAATTCTATAGTCCATACTAGAGTCAATAAGATATTGTTATATAGCCGAGACCGGTTTGGCTCAATGGACAGAGCGTCGGCTTGGAGACTGAAGGGTCCCGGGTTCGATTCCGGTCAAGGGCATGTACCTTGGTTGCGGGCATATCCCCAGTAGGGGGTGTGCAAGAGGCAGCTGATCGATGACTCTCTCTCATCGATGTTTCTAACTCTCTATCTCTCTCCCTTCCTCTCTGTACAAAATCAATAAAATATATTTAAAAAAAAAAGATATTGATATATAATCCTTTGGGGACAAGGTTTCAGTTCAAAGTGTTTAGCAATATTATCTGAAATTTTTATAGCTTTTGTTCTTTACTCATAACCCTGTTCTAGGTTCTATTGAGTATTCACTCTGAGGTCCTGACATTCACCAAAATGACATTATCTTCCTCCAGTGGTAATTCTAGGAATCTGATTTTGGGTCAAGTCCTTGAACTTGGTATGTCTTTGGTTCCTCTTTTTTGAACAGGTTCCACTGATTCACTCTATCATGTTTGCTTGGGTTTAGTGTATTGATATCCGGGCTGTTGAGTTACTGCAGATCTCAGCGGTAGGTGAGGCTTCTGCCCATAAGCCCTTCCTCCTCTTTCTCTTGCTCCAAATCAGAGGCATCTAGACTTTCCCCTCACCTTGCCTTGTCTTCTGGAGGGACAAACACCACACTGGGTTGTTGATCTCCAGGCTACTGAGTGTAGAACCCCTGGTTCTTTCTCTTGCTCTGGATCATGTTTGTCCACATTTTTCACCTCACTTCCTGAGATGACAAAGACCACACTATGCCTACAGAACATTTTCTAGTTGGTTGCAAAAATTTATAGGTTTAACTTTCTGAGTATTTTTGTGATATATATATATATATATATACTGAGCCAAACTATCCACTGAGCCAAACTGGCAACTATCTTGCCAGTTTGGCTCAGTGGATAGTGCATCAGCCCAAGGACTGAAGGGTCGGTCCTGTGTTCAATTCCAATCAAGGGCACATATCTCAGTTGCAGGCACAATGCCCAACCTTGGTCAGGGTGGGTGTGCAGGAGGCAACCAGTCGATCTCTGTCTCACATAGATGTTTTCTCTCTGTGTCTCTTCCTCTCCTCCCACTCTCTCTAAAAATCAATGGAAAAAATATTCTCAGGTGAAGATTAACAACAACAACAAAAACTCAAAAGTCCTACCATTTACCTAGATTATTATCTGCTTCAAAAAAATATAAGCTTGGAATTATAAGTAAAATTTGCTTAGTTCTCATAGTAGATTTCTGCTTAAAATAAAAACCCTTTTCAAGAGCTAGGGAAGATTTTATTGTGATGTAATTTCCTGTATTTTCTTACATTACTCTTTTCTCCTAATGCAAGAAGATTTCATCAATAATACTAGGAGCTCTCTCTCTGCTTTTATATTTCTTTATATGCTTCTCGAGCAGAGAGAATTAGAATCTCTTTTTTCATAGACCTCATGCAGAATACAAGGTGATGCTAACAGTGGTGACCATAGGGATCTGTGCATTCATCTGTGTGGTCAACCTGCAAACTCATCTGTGTGGTCAATTGCTATGTTAGTGTAGTAGTGTTTATTTCACTATCTTTATCTTTATCTTTTACTCATATTCAAACAATCTTTTCTTTGGTTTTATGCATTTTTAGGTGAAGATGAAGACATAATAAAATGTATTAATATGTTGTTACATTAAAAATTACCCCCAAGGCATAGTGTCTGAAAACAACAAACATTAGTTATCTCACAATTTCTGCATGCTGGATGCTCTGGCTCAGAGTCTCTCGAGGTTATAGTCAGCATACTGGCCAGGGTTGCAGTCGTGCAATCATCCGAAGGCTTCTCTGGGGCTGGAGGACCCACCTCCTTGGTGGCTCACTCACATGCCTGAGAAGTTGGTGTTGGCTCTTGGTAGGAGCCTACCGTCCTCTCCAAATGAGGCTTTCCATGTGTTGCTTGGATGTCCTCTTAACATGGCCGTTGGCTTCCTCTCGAGCAGCCATTTTCAATTAGTGTGCCTCGAGAATTTTTAAAGCAAGCAATACCTGACTACTTTGTCGGGGACATGGATCTCTTTTCCCTAATAGTGTCAAATTTAAAAAATTACAACAGCCATCACAATGACAGTTATCTGCTGTCTTGAACCATAAATCTATAGGTCATATACTAGATTAGTATTTTATTGGTCACATTGCATAATAAGGTTGCATCTAATTGGTTAACTCTTGGTACCAGAAATCCTTACATACAAGTATAGCATCTGACTTTCTAAAAGTCACGTCAGAGCAAAAATCGTTGGTAATTACTATTATCACTAAATTTATTGGCAGTTTCTAGAAAATTCTTGAAAAACCTTATAACTGTGGTTGTGAACTCTATATCCAGACGTTTGCTTTCCTCCATTTCTGTCATTTGTGACCTGTTTCCTTGTCTCCACATGTTGGTAGCTTCCCTGTGTTGATCGAGTGGCTTTATGTGATAGGTGTTCTATAAGGCCCAGTGGCTCAGCCTTCCCAATTACCTGAGGTGGACACTCTTGGTGCACCCCTTTGTGGGCTGTGTGCAGAGTCTTGTTGTAGTTAAGTTTTGATTTTGTTGGTATCCCTGGGAGGAATTGACCTCCAGGCCAATTGGCTGTGAGAATAAGTTGTGTCTGCTCTGGGAGAACTTCTATGCTGAAGACACCCTTATGGGACAGGACTTGCTTTAGTGGGCTTTGGTAATCACTGAATCTGCCCCCTGAGTGTGTCCCTTACGGATCTGAGTTGTAATTTGGATAGTCCCAT